GGAGGAAGGGGACAGGCTGTTTTCACTGGTGGCCAGCGACAGGACGAGGGGTAATGGCCACAAGCTGAAGCATAAGAAGTTCCGTCTCCAGGTGAGGAGCAACTTCTTTACTGTTAGGGTAACAGAGCAGTGGAACAGGCTGCCCAGGGAGGCTGTGGAGTCTCCTACTCTGGAGGTCTTCAAAACCCGCCTGGATGCCACCCTGTGCCACATGCTGTAGGTGTGCCTGCTGAACAGGAAGGTTGGACTAGATGATCTGTAGAGGTCCCTTCCAACCTTAAATATTCTGTGAATCTGTGAATCTTGTGACTGAGTGCACGTTACTACCAAAAAAACAGTACTTCTTCCTTTGAACATTATAAAATGAGTCAATTCTTTACCCATGGTGTCCTGCAACCATCTTTAAGCACATTCTCATTTCAGCRGTATCATGTCATGAGTTCCCAGCCTTCAAATAGGTTTCAAGGCAACAAACCCAGCCACTTCCTTTCAAATATGCACCTGCCTGGCATCCACTCAACATTCAAATACACGGCTCAACTACAGACAGTTTATTTCTGCTTCTGCCTTAGCTATACAGTTAAAGCAAAATTTAAATAGTTTTAACAACAAMAAAAAAATCTAAGTCTGATCCATTCTCCATTTCTGTATTTTAGCTAGAACACCAAAGACACTTTATTTTTAGAATTAAATGTAGCAAGAAATCAGGGCCTTCCTCCTCAGTTTCGTTTCAAGCTGAGGCTCTACAGGTTGTTTTGATTTAACATTTAAATTTCAACTGACATGGTTAGAAGCTTAAGCTTTCAGTGTCAGTAGACTTGAGTCGAACATAATGAGACACTGAAAAAAGTCACTGAAAATATAATTTTATATCCCAATACTAAAAGTCACTGAAAATATAATTTTATATCCCAATACTAAAAAACTCAACTCTAAATATGATTAAGTTTCTAATAATAAAACATAGGTTATGGACTTGTAAGACCAAGGTCTTAACTGCCATTTATTAGAAATATATTAGGAGAAAATTAAGAGAACGATATGAAACTTCAATCTTCAGTGGCAATATTTTCAAGGAACAAAAAACATGTGAATATTCAGGCACACTCTAAAGTAGCTTGAGTTCTTTACTACCTTTGTTCCACTAAAGCCATAATGCTCCAAGTTATAACCATAAAATGACTTTACTCAGGAGTTACAACACCTCAGATAACCACCTGTGTCATCCAGTGTTTCCTGTGTTTCTCCGTCATCCACCRACTCCAATTCTTTCACAAAGTTTGAAGGAAACAAGCCTGACTTGCCATTTAGTGTCCCGCTCCACCAGCCTTCTTCCACCTGAATAGAAAGATTTTTCACAGTATCAGTATAGCAAAAGCAAATCTAAATGGATATCAGTTTCAAAGATATAATTTCAAGCTATTTTCTTGGATAAAGTTCTTAACAGTATTACGCAGTATGAGAGAACTAAGCTGTTATCCCTGCTTTCTGACAAGGGGCAGTTGATCAAAATGCATATATGTGGCTCCAGACTATGTGAGACACAAGGATTTTTCTGGTGCCATGCAGATATTCCTCGAGAGCAAATCTGCTAGATGCCAAATTCTGTTAGTTTCACTATTCAKAAAACAAATTTTCACAGTGGACACCTGCTTAGAAATTTAAAAACATCATGACTCTGCAATGTCCTGTTTTTATGGGCAGACTCCTGGTGTACAAGTTCACTGCCCTGCTCTAAAATTTAATAGAACAGGGCTCATGAAAATCCTGCCATCCAAAGTGGAATTAATAGATGCTGGGCGCGCCTGAGGGAGAATTGCCAACAGATTCTGTAGGAATGCAGTTCAATTTATTAAATTTCTCATTTCTCTAAATAAATTGAGGCTCACTGCCTACTAAGCATCACTAAAAACTGACGATTAAACATATTTTTAAAATATTTTGCTTGAGTTACTCTTTTTTGGAATGGAAAGTGTTTAGATGAAAAAGAAAAGGAAATGAAAAGCAAAAGACAGTGTTTATTTACATAATCTTTTTTTAGCCTTGCTTTCTGGGTCATTATGCTTGACACACAGACATAATTTTTAAACACGAGCCTCTCTTCAGGCAAGTGAAATGCAGGCAAGACCCAGCAGCCACAAAGAGGCATGGAACAAAAAGAACAGCTCTTGTTTTAAAGACATCCTGGTTCTCAAACATGGCTTTTTCTCAAGACTGTTCACACTGAGAATTTGGTCCTCCATACAGAATTGGAAGCCCAAACTGATGACAAGTGTGGACTGGGCTTGGGCTCCTTTTGCTTTACATACTACACCATGCAAAGCTCAATTTAAAATGCCTTGACTCACAAATAACTACAAAGAGGCAAAGAAAAGAGACTTTTAATGCTTCCAAGAGAGCAAATGACTCAAGCTACAGTGTATTCTTCTGCTACGAGCTGAGGCCAAAGTCCTAGACAGACCAGCAAGGCAAGTGGAAATTCAGATTTCAGAACTCTACCTTCTATTTCAAAAAAATCTTACTACATCATAAAATTTCCACAAGAGGGAGTTACAGTTCTGGTACATTCATAACAGCACTTTTTTTATGCATACACATGAGAATTTCATCAGCTTATTTCTATAAAAAAGACAGAAAGTCGAGACTTTCAAGCAAAGGGGAAAATACAATTGAAACAAGCAATGTCCTCTTAAATGATTAAAAAATAAAAAAGTCATTTGATATTAGTTTACAACAGGCTTTTAAAGTAGATTATGCTTGATAAGAGCACACAAATATTACAATTCAAATAAATCTACTACTTATTTCTGCAGCTGGCAGGAATGTGGAGGGAAAGGAAAGCTATGAAACAGAAACAAAAGGTTTATTCAAATTAATGTACAGTTAATGTAGAGCTGTGACATCCATTTTAGGTGTGCATTCTATTTCTGTATTCTGTGTATTCCTTTTATATCTAAAAGGAAAGCAGAGATTGCTTCACATTAATGAAGACATTTTATTTGGGATAGGTTATCTCTGCATATTCTATAGTTGGCATTTTCTAAAATGCTTCTCAACTCTTGTCCATCACTATCGCTTTCTGAGGCAAATCTATTCTACACTGGGCAGATCTATCCTACACCTTCACAAAAATGGCAATCCCACAGCCTCATAAACTGCAACTCCAGACAGCAATTCAGTCTAATTCAAGCACTAAAATAAAATGTGCTGGAGTGAAGGTATTGACACTGTTCCAATGTCAAGTGTGTAAACTGGAAGAACATAATCAGAATACAGTGAAAACAAGCATGTAGCTCTGCTAGCAACATAAGTAGCACCAAAGGGTTACTACAAGTTTGTATTTTCAGATCATTAAGCTAAGTGGATTTCCTTTAAAAAGAAAGCTAAAAAAATCACACAAAGGAAAAGCTGCATTCCCAGCACACTTTGGGAGGAGAAAACTGCTATAACAACTTTTTYCTTCTCTCCCCTCCACCCCCGCAATGAAACTCTGCAGAGGTTCCTCATCTTTCAAACATTTACTCACTGGTGAAGTGAGCCAGGTGGGGTACATCAAGGTAGGACACACAGGAATGGAACAAAACAAAGAACACACAGAGCGTGACCTGCATATCCATGTTCCTTAAGACTACAAACTAAAAAGCAGCCTTTTTTGAATTGCAGTATTCTTTTTGCCATGTTTTCCTACTTGGTCTTCTCAGATAAATCCGTGCTTACAATCTATATTTTCAAGCAAATATGTTTATGTATATTGTGCTGTTTGTTGCCCTGACTGCTCTTACTATCTTGATCAGTGCAAAGTTTCAATGATGAAAGACTTTGTAGAAAAGCACAGAACTGGAAAATCGAGTCAAAGAGCATTTTTCATCTCGAGCAAGTTAGGGTATGTAAAGGCAATGTATGTATAAGCAATTTGTCAAATAGTTTTAGGATAAGTCCCTAAAAGCAATGGACAGAGACAAAAAAAAGAAACCCTGCAAGAGTCTTTAGAAAAATAAATCAGTATAATGGATCATACTATATTGCTGCAAAGATCAAATACTTCCTTTACACATCTATTATGTATAGATTTAGGATTAGATCCTGACAGAAAGAACTTCTAAGCTTTGAAATTTCAACCTTCAAATTTCCTATACTATTTTTCCAACGTTGCATTCAACCAAAAAGTAGTTTCACTTTTGGCCAAACGGAGAGATGACAGCTCTGCTAAACAACTTACCTCTTCACTGATGTCAATAACATCCCCCACTTTGAGTTCCAGTTCATCCTCATTCTGAGGGATGTACTCAAACAGCACTTTGCACTGCCGCTTCTTGGACTCTGAAAGAAGGGGGGAAAAAGACCACAAAAATAAAAATGAACCAAAAGAACCTACAAACCACTCCAGAGGATCAAATTTGACTACAACACCTGGAAACCATCAGAAAAAGTGTCTGGCTTTCCAGTTTGCTTGTCTCCTTCAGCTACGTAGCCATAGAGATGCTTGAGCCACAGATGCAGCTTGAGAGAAGGGGCATTTCCCACACTGCCAATTACAAGTGAGTAAACATTACACTGCCCATTACCAACGTGCTATAAAAAACACAATGACATAAGCAAGTGAGATAAGCCTCCACTTCAATGATTTTCAAGCTACTTCCTGTCAAAAGCTGCAAAAAATCACAACAGCAGGCAGTTACAGCACAAGCACTTGCTTGGAAGACAATCTGTAAATTTGAGACTCCAATGTTTAAGCAATCCCCAAAGAAATGACAAATGCTTTATTCTGCACAACACTAAAAGACTTTCTACATGAAAAGCCTCTAAAGAAGATCTTGTTAACGAGAAGCRTGAAGTTAACATTCACTTTGCTTAGACTGCAAAAATACAAGTTTCTTTCCTTTGAAAGCAGGAAAAAAAGGCTTTTTTTTTCCCCCCCGTGCCAGTGTGGAGTCCAGAAATTAAATCTAAACTTCAAATGCCAGTGTTTCACAGAGGCAAACTTAAAATAYATAGCAGTTAAAACTGTGCAGACATTAAGCACATAATGACACATTCATAGGGGGAAATACTAAACCAACTTCCAATAATCTGAGTAGTCACATGTGTGTGAACCTAAAATAACACATTTATCCTACACACATCACATTGGAGTGGTGCTACTGCTGAACTCTGAATGCTTTGGGGCTTTGCTTGCAAGATTATCCCTTCCAGGTCCTTTACAGAACCAAACTTTCAGGCAACCATCATCTTGAGCTCCATACACACCTCAAACTTACTCCTTATCCCTGTCCTCAAAAGGATCTGCCACCACATTTCAGTGGGAAAAAAAAAAGGAGGAATAAAAAATTTGATGTAGTTTACATTTGTTTCTTTAAGTGGTAAAACTCATTGCAGCTTCTTGTCAAAATGAACACAAGTTAAACAGTCACATGGCTCATTGCCATTTTACTCCTTTTTTGTACTGTAATCCTCTCTTTTTAGGGAATGGAAAATAAATTTTAAAAAGTTGAAAAGACAAAATAAATGCCTTTCATATCTAGAAGTAGCTCTCAGTGCAGTGTTTTTCCATTATATCCATTTTAGGAAGTTGAATCTTCCAGTTTTGGAAAGGATTAACATAGGAAGTTAACTGATGAGGTCAAAAACACTCCCTGCAGTTTCACAGGGCAGTGGAGCCACTGGACTGGCAGCCCCAGAGCAACTCACCTGTTTCTAAAAACAACTTGTCTTCCATCAGGTTTTGTTTGTTTTGTGCAGGGTAAACAAAATTCAGCTCCTCATTGCCTCAAGTTAGTGAACTTTCTATATTTTGATTTTCCTGAATGAATACTGCAATTTAACTCAGAAATATTGCATGCAGCTTATTCTTCTGATCTAAGATGCCTGAATTCAATGAGAACTGTGTGTGTGAAAACAACACATGGGATTTCTTAGGTAGATAACACCCGAGACACCATCATGGAAAACTTGTTATTCTTAAAGAATCTTGACTTGATTTTTAGAACTGCAAACCTCACTTTGCCAAGCGTAACTAGAAACCAAAAAATGACTAAAAAGTTAAAAGAAGAACAAAAAGGATCTGCAGAAGCTGTTTAGTCTTCCAGGAAAGAAGGAACAGCTAATAAAATGGAAACGCGAGATCATGGTTATGCCCATTAAACTGCTCTGTGCTTTTTTCCATTTTGTTTTTGAAAACATGCATTATTTTAAGGAAGCTGCTCCAATTCTCTTCAAGGGAAATGAGGACGGCCAAAGAACTGCAGAGTMTGAGATGAAATTGCATCTATTAACCTGACCAGGGCCACCTAGAAATCACTAGAAGGAAAAGGAAATTGCTGAAGGCAAGGATGGCTCGAAGCTTAGGGAGACCAGAATGAGTATGAGGTTATGCTGGACTGGATCAAACTGACTCCCCTGCGGAACCTGGCTGCATTCCAATGAGAAAAACATTAATTTAAGATTAGTTTTTTAAAAGCCTGTTGATGCAAGCACCTAACTGGCACATAAGTGCCATTGCCAATAAATGTATATGGAACAGATTCACTAAAAAAGCTGTTCTGAAGGTTATTAGCAGCCTAGAAGAAAACTTTCATGAATTTGTCAACCTGGTGGTCCCAATTTAGCCCTCGAAGACAGCTAGGGGCCCTTCTCCTTTTATGGGCAAAATCTCAGAGCATAAACATACCAAAAAAATTCAGTTATGAAGTTTTTAAAAAACAGCAAGCTTTAATCATAAATGCCAGCAGGGCATTACAATAGAGCTCAAGCTAAATTAATCTCTCTTGTAAGCCTGAGACATCCAAATACAGATCATAGTAGACCACAGCTTTCCACAWACAGCAAATACTAAGTTTTAGCTGTGTGTTTTAGTCAGCCTGACTTAAACACTTGCATTACAACCTAGGAACCACAGATATGGTGACATTAAAGTCTCCMCTACTGACTATCCTGGGATTAAACATAGAGTCCAAGGAAGATTTCTGCTACCTTTTCTTAGAYACCACCAAGTCTTTTCATCCAACTTGTTTCACACTTCAAACAAACTTCTTGAACAAACGAAAACTAGAGTAACTGTAGTTCCTTTTCCCAAAGCCCTGTATTTCAAGCAAAACTTTTCTAATCAGAAGAAACAGCCACAGGAATTTTCTTTTAATCATCATGATGATACCTTTGATTCTCATTCAGGTACTTACAATACAAACAGCCCATGTAAAATTACAGCAAATAACTGAAACCGACAGTTGCTCTGTGCTGGAAAATATATATATTTTATATATATTATATATATATACACACACACACACACACACACACATATATCTGGGTAATATTCTCTGGAATCTAGAAGGGATCTAAAACTCTGCTCCAAGGAAATTCTTTACTGTTGCTGTTATTAAGTAGTACATACAAACTTGCATTTGGGGGAGAATTTGGTTTAGAAGGCAAAAAATCTTTTACGGGTTTAGTTTTCTAGTTTTAAAACTAAGTCAAGCATTTAGCAATTAATGTTTTCTTAAAATACACTTCAGTAGCTTACACAATTGAAGTAATTGGAAAGACTACGTACTCTTCTTGTAGCTTTTGGACGGCGGATGAGGCTGAAATCCTCCTGCTGGAAGCCCATAGGTGCTCATACGCTGCACGAGACTTGCTACATTGCCAGATTTCTCCCTCTTCACTGGTAGGACRTCATCCTTGGGTTCTACATCCTTCTTAACTTCCTGAAACAAGAGAGTTAAAAGACTAAGAGATTGTTGAAAGTACCTAAGATATCATCGTGTTTCTAAATGAACCATTCTAAAGCCTCCTCGATTTCAGTTGTACTTACCRTTTTGTGTACAATGATGCATAACACTCAAAAACCATGGCATCTTGCATCAAAATATACTTGAGACCTTTATAAGCAGGAACCTTCCACACAATTACGTTAGGAAACAGGCAAGATGCAAAGAAAAGACAAAACAGGGGCAGCGTTCTAGTCATCTACACCAACTCTACATACCTTTGAGCCCAAAAAAGTCATATTAGCACAACTTTGAAGTCATGGCTTATATGAATGAATGAATAAATAAATAAATAAATAAAGCTACACTTCAAAAACTGTAAGAACAGAACTTCAACTACAGATCCATAGAAGTAGGGTACTAAATAAAAATCAATGTTCTGGTACATAATACATCCTAACTTAACACATTACTCACTGAGCGAGACCAACGGTCCTTCCAGTCCAGAATACTGCTCCCAACACTGGCAGTATGAGAAGCTATCGAGAGAGCACAAGCATGCAATCCTAAGTGCTTTCTTCTGTGTCTTATTCTCATACTCCCTAAGGACCYTTAAAGGTTTCATTAGAAAAGTATATCCCTCCCATTCCCTCTAACATCTGACAGCAAATTTGGCTAATCCCTTTCTAAACCCATGATCCTCCCTGCCTCYGTAGCTGCCTTTGGCAATAAATTCCAGATATTTGTCCCTACTACAAAGCAATTCCTCTGGTTTAAACTGAAGTCTCAGGTAGTCTAAGTCAGGGCTCAGTTTTGGCACTTGTTCTCCACAGGCTTCCTCATAAACCCCAGCATCATCCTGCTGGCTTTTGTGGGCCCTCGCTGCAAGTCAAGCTAAAGAGTTCAAAGAACTGAAAATGACACCAAAATCTTCATGAGATGATGCTCAGCTTGGAGCTGGCAGGTACATATAGACAGGGACTATATATACATAGATATATATCCATAGGTACATACACAGACATGGACTACATACACATATGTACATATAGACCTTTTCTTCAGTACATTACCTAGCATGTACCTACCTTCACAGTTATCTATAGGTAACAGGTTTGTCACCTGGAAAGAAGTCCCCTATGGATAAGGCCTTTCTGCTCTATCAAAAAACATGTGTCCCTTGAGAACTAGACTAGAGTAGATCTGTCCATGGATTTTTAAGATAAAAATCTTAAACTATGGAACTTACCTACCATCTAAACCTCAGAGAAGGAAGGTTTCTCCATTTAGTTGACTTTTCATTCCTAAGGCTCTCCCACACGGGGCCACTTACAGCCTCCTTTCCCCAGGTTTACACTAATACTGGGATTTACACCCAGCCTCAACCAACTGCTGTAATAACTTCGTAACACTTTGCAGGCAGCACAAAGAGGGCAAAAAGGGATGGGGAAGACCTACACATGCAGCCTGACCAAAAAACACAACCTATGATAAAATACTACTTCCAAGTGCTCGAAGAGGTTTTAAGATGMGCACCAGCTTTATCAGCAAGTTGAGGTGAATAAACAATACATTGTAAAGTCAAAAAGCAGTAGCAAAGGAAAGAGCAGGACATCCTGCAAAGTAATTGGTAGATTATAACCATGAGGAAACACTTTGAGACAAAAGCAGTGGCGACAAAAGATTGAGACTCAAAATTGAAAGAAAAGAATGCTAAGTGCTTTTAATACCTGAGTTCAGTTGGTAGCTTAAGGGGTCTTGTAAGGAAATATTCACATTCTGMCATAAAAAGAGAGATTATCAATGACAAAATATAACAGCAAACGCTTAGGTATTAGATCTTAGGTATAAAATGGATATATCTGTGAGCAGATACACGAGGGAAACTGTGATGATACCTTTGAAGATTAAGAATTTATTGATGAAGAATTCCATTAGCAGAAACCAAAAAATGATGACACACTGGGATGGACAGGTATTATGAGATCCCAGTTAAGATACAAAGTTATAGACATGGACTTCCTAAGGAAGCCAAGCCATTATGTAAAAAAAAGAACGAGATAGCAAAGGAAAGACCAGGATGATGCTGAGGTAAAAACAGGATGTCAACGATGCTTGAATCAAAGACAGTAGATAACAGTATTTTATTTAATGTATTAGAAAGCATACATCAAACAGAATCACAGAATCATAGAATGTTTAAGGTTGGAAGGGACCTCTACAGATCATCTAGTCCAACCTTCCTGTTCAAGCAGGCACACCTACAGCATGTGGCACAGGGTGGCATCCAGGCGGGTTTTGAAGACCTCCAGAGTAGGAGACTCCACAACCTCCCTGGGCAGCCTGTTCCACTGCTCTGTCACCCTAACAGTAAAGAAGTTGCTCCTCACCTGGAGACGGAACTTCTTGTGCTTCAGCTTGTGGCCATTACCCCTCGTCCTGTCGCTGGCCACCAGTGAGAACAGCCTGTCCYCTTCCTCCCTGCATTCTCCCTTCCTGAACTTATACATATTAAYCATATCCCCTCTGAGCCTTCTCTTCTCCAGAGAAAACAGGTCCAGCTCACTCAGCCTCTCAAAACCCAAACTGATTTTCAACCAAAGACAGCGGTGGGTGATAAATCTGGTTTTGAGAAGAATCATACAGATAAGCCCATTTTTTYCCCCTTGATATTTAACCAACTCCCTTTGGAATTGCCAGGTAAATCCAGCATTACCTTTTTGTTAAAGAGGAACTGTGGCATTATTTTCCTTCCCCAAGACATTAAAAGCCTCATTAAAGCAGATTTAAAAGAAATTCAGGAATCCCTCATTTCCACGTCTGTGCATAGCCCACCATACCTCCAATCTGTATTTCATATCAATGCTCTGATAGTAGGAAGCTGCTCTAGATTTCCTTTCTTCAGCTTGTTTCAGGATCCTCTAGAATACTTCCCGATCTCCATTTCCAGGTATTTCATCTTGAACATCATTGTGCCCTCTCTGCCCTTCTGAACAGGCAAATATTTTACAAAGAGAAATCACCGCTAGCCAAAATATCAGAGCTTATCTCTCTGAAAATTGGCACTAATCATTTTTTGAAATGTCAAAGAGCCAAAACAGCTGTATTGAGTTTAAGCTATTGGAAAACACTGCACACAAACCTAACGTCTCCATCCAAACTACAGATAAAAGGCCTTGCTTATCATTATACCTAAATTAAAATTCATAAATGCCTGTTCACTCACTTTGGAACAGATAAGGTTTGGGGTTTGAGGTTTAAGTTACAGCTGTAAATCTAGACTCATGTTATGGCAATACCAATAAAAAGCCTCCAGAATGCTGGACCGGTCAGCGCTATTACTGAGATGAGGCCACCACTATTTGCTAGCCAGCAAAAACAAAACAGAAATCTGACATTAGCTGCAGCTGGAAGCTTTAATATTTCTATTATGCCAGGCCACTATAATTAAAGGCTTGTCAGTGTTTCCATTAGCAACACAGATTTTAAGCATTTATGATTTGGCAGTACAAGTTCACGACACATTCCTATCTTGGCATAAAAACACGCTCAAAGCCTAAATAACCGCCCACGCTCTCTGTTGCAAGCTATAGCTCTGCTCACTGAGGCTTATAACTTTATATAATCTCATGACATGCGGATTTCACAACATTCTCACAAAATATGAAATCACTACCTGGCTGTTATTTTTAAAACATGTTAAATTCTTGCATGATACAGGCAAAAAGATCAGCAATGACAGCTAAGAGAACCTGTCCCAATGTAACAATTCCTTGGGGGGGGGGGGGGGGCCCTCAAAATCATCTGGGTACATTAAAACACGAAACAAGAATTTATTCCTTGCTTGTTTACCTATGTACAAAATCTAATGTGTCTATGTTCATTTATAACCTCGCAATGTTCATTAAATAAACAAGTGGACCATCCTGACCTTCTATGTAAGTGAACAAGGAGCTTCCCCACTGCTATTAGTTGCTATTTCCTACTGCTAATAGCTGCTATTCCCCTTATTGCTAGAATGGGAAAAGGAAGATCCTCTTTTCCCATGTCGTAACCTCCCCAGCAGAAGAGCAGAGCATTAAAAATCAGTGGGACAATCTGGCAGTAGAGAAATCACATAAGATTTTCAGAAGGAACAAAAAAAGGGACATATGCTTTCAAGCGTGAGGTCTATTCCTCTCTTTCCTGTGAGAGAGAAGTTATCAAATTAACTTCAATTTTTAGCTAGATTCTTTCAGCATAAAAGATTTGACTTCTCTCACATTGTTATATCAAGAACAGTTATCTTAGACTACCCTCACATCACTTTCTTTGTACAACTGTAATAAATGTCAGCTTGTACAACAGCTACCAACTCTGCATATATTTGTGTATTGGCTGATTGTTTTTCACAATGAGGGTCTCCATATCCAAGTAAGCTGAGGAATACATGAAAATTTCAGAGTCTGAACATATGATTTCCACATCTCTTCCCCATTAGAGCAGCAGTAATGGCAATGCCAATTCATGATATAAGTTTATGGCTCATTTTACTTGGCAGAAATGAAACCTGCCACTAAATTTTAGTGAAAAATAAAAAATCTTCAATTAATAGACTTTTCCTTATACAAGCTTTTCTCTTCCTACCGTGCAGCCTGCAAAACCCTTTTCAAAAGAAATCAACAATATTTCATGCCTTATGTGCACACCTACACATACATATACACACACACATATATGTGAAATACGTTATTTCATATGGATGTGATGCTGATAGCAAAAAGTCCTTTAATTCTGCCTGACAGTACCCCCTTTGAATGGTAACTTCAGTCCTTCTTTGAAAAGTTTTTACATCCTGAATGCAGATATGTCCACAGAATATAAGAACTAAAAAATTCATTAAGGGCAAGTAGAGAAAAAGTGAATTACCTGCAGCTATCCACACCTACCCTATTCTTTAATTATATTTGCTATAAATTAAAGACATGAAACAAGATGAATTATCAATAAAATCAGAA